ACTGGGTCACCCTGTATGTTTTTTTAAAATTTTTATTCGTTTTGCAATAAATTTCAGGTAAAGTTTAACGTTGCTCTTAAAATTGGCCTATTTTTCAGCAATAAACCTTCTCGTGGAAATTTTTTCATAAACAAGACCCTTAAGCTTTTATCTGAAACGACTCGGTTAAAATTTATTACAGGTCCTGGAATAAAATTTTCTAGAAAAAAAGATGTGTTTATCAGGTCGTTTCCACATGAGAAAACGTTTAATCAGCGAAAAGATATCGCCAACAATTAGAACACACGATTAAGAGTGTGAGAATATAATGTAGGCCACTAAATTTAATCAAGGAGAATAATATACTTGGTTTAGATAAGAAAAAACGCGAGAATCAACTTTGAACTTTAACCAGCGATTGTGTGAACGGAAATGTCGGTTATTTTAGTCCAATGCAAAGATAACAATCTTTTTTTTGCTATAAATAAAAAAAATGACACTGGTAAAGTGAATTGAAGTAAAAAGATTTACTCCACGAGACCGTAGGACGAGTATTGAATAAATATATCTAATAGTTTACTTACCTTTCGTGTTGTTTTTGATTTTTTAACATACTTTTATTTCTTTTTTTAGGAGAGGGAGAAATGTGTGGGTGAAAAGTAGAAGAGATTGTTAAATTTTCTAGTCTATTTATTATGAAAATATAATACAAAACTTACTATGTAGTGTTACAGTAATAATAATAATAATCATATAATGAAATATAATAATAATAATTAAGTGGTCAAGTACTGGACTGCAAGTGTACAGGTTTTGCAAGCTTTTCGCTTAGCCAAAGTGTCTAAACCTCAAACACGAAACATTCTAGAAAAAATGCACGAAAACGTCATCAACATGTCCACATCTTTGGCATTGCTGCTACTCGCGCGTGACACTACCACGCTAGAGGGCTATTTTTAGTATAGGTCTTCTAAACTCGTCTACCTATAATACTAAATAAATAATACAGTATATGGTATTGCTTTGATTATATTCGTTAATAGTATAATTGTAAACTATTGCTGACACTATATTGCTATATATTTATATAATAGATAGGCAGGCAGCTAAACTAGTCGTCAACGGCGCCGCCCGCACCAATCATCTCCTCTCGAAAAGACCACGTGACGCGCAACGCCGCTGCCGTTGGCTCATTCGATGTCTAGTTCTTAAGTCTATGTTACTTAAGTATTCGTTATCTCTATATTGCTATGGTTCCAGGCCGCCTTTGACCCGACTACTGTGCTTATTGCTTTTGAATACCCGGCTTCCGGGGGCCGATACTGAGCCCCGCTGCCCTCTCGCCCCACCTCACCCCAATTTTATTGCTTCGAAAGTGTTTCAAGGGTGTCGCGGCTCGCGTCTCCCCCCCGAACTTATTGCCAGCGAATATTTTAATAAACTATATGAATATATGTCAAATTATAACCCTTATATGTCTATGCTCTCACACGCTACAGTGCACTCTACGCTACTGGACTTGACGAAGCTGGTGCGCCACTGGCGAGACGCTCGGAGTGGACGAAATGGATTTTTTTTTTGGGTTTGGTTTTGTTTTCTTCGTTGTTGCCTTGTTTAAGGCACCATCGACACCAATCAAAAGTGGCCGAGGTCGCCAGTGGCGGCGGTTGCGGCCCCACACCACTATCTGGCTAATGACTAGATGCACACTCGCCTGGCGCAGCGCGCGGGCCACACAAAACGAAAACACAAACATAACAAAGGAGAAAATCTCGCAAAATTTAAAAAAATCTAAAAGTGTTTTTTAATTTAATTGCTGACCTTTTTAGTACAAAATTAAGAATGTGAGAATTTGTGTTTTGTTGTACAGTCAAACAGTTTGAAAATGACGCCTCAAATAAACGATACCCTCCTATGGATACCAACGCTTTTAACAAGACTGTAAACTTAACGTAGATTTAAAATAAATATAAATCTTTAAATGTCTTATTAGTTTTGTAACTTAATCAACATTATTTATTAAATTTAGATAAGCAAAACAAAAAACAAAAAATGACTTTAAATTTCTTAGTTCTGTTACCACTTTAGTTTTTTGGTAATTATAAAACGTGTAAACCACAAAAGTGAGTTTTTTATTTATTATTATGATTTATTATTTGTAAATATTATTTATTGAATTTAATAATCTAATAACCCATTTTAAAGAAAAGAATACATTAATAGGTATGAGATGAGCTTGACGAAGAAAATTATTATTAATTTAATACATTCTCTTTTAGTAAACTGTTTTTAAGAATAAAATTAAGCAACATATTTTTAGTACAAAATACAGGTTGCGCCAGAACTTGCGCCCCAAAAAAATGTCATGTAAAAAAATTTTATCTATAAAAATTTTGAAGTTATGTGAGTTAAAGTTTTGCACTTTGACTATTTATTTTTGTTGGAAAAATGATTTTTCAAGTTTTTTTTTGCTACAGACTATTAGAAGAGGAAACAAGAAAACTATATCCTAAATTGTAACTCTGTTTAATGTTATTTGTGGCTTTTTTTGTATTTTTACTAAATAATTATAAAAAAAAACATATACAAGATTATCCGTATCATTAAATAACATAAGAAAGATCAAATGTCACAAAATTAATGTCAAAATTTTTTGACAGATAGAATTTTTTAAACATTTTTTCCATGTTCCTGAAATCTTATTTTACTTGAAATTTTGCTCTGGAGCGCAAGTTCTGACACACCCTTTAGACTTTATTATTACTTTTATTAAATATTATTATATAACTATAAAAATTAATTACCTATTTTTATTTTCTAAAATTTTTAAAATGCAGTTATTTAAATATAGTTGTTATTGCATAGTTCGGACTTATTCAGACTATTTGTAACAACTTATAAACTTTTTTTAGTTGTTATAAAATAGTTTTGGCATAGATTTGAATTAGTTTATATTTAAACTAGTTATAATTAATAATTATTATTTGAAAATAATGATGGTTTAAAATTTATTTTACTATTACTTAAAAATTATAATTTTTCAAAAGTTGATACATAAATGAAAATATACATACAGTGAGCGGCAAAATTATGGAATAATTTTATTTATTAAAACAAAATTTTTTTAAATTTTGACAAATATGCACAAACAGGACAATTTTCTTTTCAAAAAATTCAAAATTTTTAACTTGTAAACATTTGCTTCTTGTTGACACTATTTCACTTTTTTGGTGTGTTTTTTTCGAAAACTTTATGTAATATTTAATATTTGGGTGTTGTCATTTTGACAATTGAAAAATTTATCAAAGTGGGGGTTCCCATTTAAAAAAAAAATGTCAAAGACGTCGTTACTCAAAAACTAAAGTGTAAAATCTTAAAACAAGTGAAAAAAGTCTATTTAGAAAAAATCACGTATTAGAGCAATTTTGCCAAAACAAAATATTTTCAGTTTTAATAAGATTATTTCATAATTTTGAAGCTAACTATAATAAAAAATTCAAACGGCTCTTCAAACACTTCGTAGAAAGTATTTGGAAGTTCTAAGAATAATAAAAATTGTGATTGAGTGAAATATAGAGAAATAATTAAATTACTAAAATACAGAGTGAGCATTAAGTACTGATTCAGTTAGCAACACTGAAATTTTATTAAAAACTGCTAACGTTACACATATTTATATCTCTTTAATTGAATTTAATATCTTCTTATTTGTTTATTTAAATGTTTTAAAATCACCAAAAAGTAAATTTTGTAACGAACTAAGAAATTATTTTGCGTTTTTTTTCCTGCTTAAATTAAATAAATAATTTTTCGATAATTTATTACTCTGCCTAGTTGCACTTTTTTGAGGCGTCATTTTCAAATCGTTCGAGTGTACTTTTAAAATTGATATTGAAATTTGTAATAATTGAGTATCTAAGATTATAATTGACTGTAATTGACTTGTGTGGCAATTTTTTCTATTTTGTAGAGTTTGTGTTTTGGACTTCTCATTGCACTGGCCCACTCGTAACAATCAGGGACAACAGGTTATAGGTGCTACTCCATGTTTCGCTCACCTACACGTGGGTAGTGACAGAGTCAGTACCTTATAGTAAATATATAATTATCATGTATAATATATGCTTGCAAAAATACTGCCAAAACTATGCTTCGTTGATCTCAGTTATTTTTTTTAATAATTTTCTCTTGTTTTCTATGTATATTATAGTACAATTGGAATAAATGTCGTTGTCTACGTCGTGCTTTAGACTCCGCGCAGGTATATAATATCATATAGATCTGAACAACAAACCGAAACGAAACGATAATTGACTATAAATGGGACTAGATTAAACGGGACCGGGACTAGAGGCTGCGACTAGATGCGACTCCGGCCGCTCATTATATTATTTAAATCTCACTTAATTCCACTCTTAATCTAAATATGTATAATACTAGTATTTGCATAACTTCGTTGTTTGTGAAACTTTGCTTTTGTTCGTGAAGAACGTTTGGAATGTCGCGATTTAATTAACTAAAAGGTGCCGATAACATCATATGTTCGGTGGACAATCTAGTCCATGGTGTTCTAAAGGTAGAGACCATCTTACATCTAACCTAACTTATTGGACGTGTTGCGATGTGTTATCTCATTGGGAGGGATATTTACAAGGGGGCGTCAGTTCGCGAAGAATAAATCACGGCTAATCTAGACGGCGTGACGCGTTTCGGAACACTGCCACTACGTGCCGCGATTACAAAACAGTGCTGCCAGATTTGGGGAAATTCCACCAGATCTGGGGATTTTCCTGTTAGTCTGGTGTAAAAAGTCTAATATCAGGTGATTTTTTGGAAATGAAAAAACTGTTTTTTCACTATTTTCCACGTTTTCAACCAGAAACCTGATAGTTTTATCAAATTCTTCGAAAAATTGTTTTTTTTACAAGATTTTACAGAATCGAAAATGACAAATTATTTTGTCTTTTTCGAGTACTAGAAACACAATTATTTCGCAAAATTTCGTTAAACACACTCCAAAAATTTAACAAATGCGACCAAAAAGGGCGTTATTTTTGCCTTTTTCAAGAGTTTAAGCACGTTTTTGAGGTGAAAATTTACAAAATTAAATCGAAATTAACATTATTTTTATCTTGTTCCGTTTAGCTTACTTCGTTTTTAAACCAGAGAATTATTTATTTTGCAAAATCTTGTCCAAACACGCCTAAAAATCACAAAAACTATTGATATTGATATTATTTTGCTTGTTTCACATTATAAGACAAGAGTCTTAACCAGAGTCGAAAATTACATTAATTTTGCATTTCTTGAGAGTTTTAGCACGTTTTTCAGTTAGAATCGCAATTATTTTTTAAAATTGGTTAGAAACAAGCCAAAAAAAACACAGAATGAAACCGAAAATGATATAATTTTGCACTTTTTCGAAAGTTCAAGCAGATTTTTAAGCTGAAAACTTTTTTTTTCCGATGTTTTGCCATAACACGTTAAAAATCACTAAATTGCTATAAAAAAGATTATTTTATGATTTTTTTACCTAATTCTTAGGCTTTAATTTAATTTGATTGGTTTTTTAAGGATAATAAGACAAAAATAAGACCTGGATTTTTTTAAACACGTTTTCTATTACAATCTCAGGTTTTTTGCAAGAACTGAAAAATCAACATATTAAGTCGGAAATTACATTAATTTTGCATTTCTTGAGAGTTTTAGCACGTTTTTCAGCTAGAAACGCAAATATTCTGCACAATTAGTTAAAAACAATTTAATATGAATATGATATAATTTTTAAAAAAAATTAAAACTATTTCTTCGCGAGAGTGTGCTATAGTATGTCAAAAATCACTAAATTGTTAATTTTGTTTGTTTCACTCGATTTAACTGGTTTTTGAGTGAAATAAGGCAAAAATAAGCTGAGAAACCACAAAATTTGGCCGAAAATGCTTTTAAGCGCGTTTTAGTACTAAAATCCCAGGTTTTTCACCAGATTTCGCTAAAACAAGCTAAAAAAAGTCTACAATTGCATTTCTCGAGCATTTTTGTACGTTTTTAGAAATGCAAAATTTTGTTGAAAACAAGCCAAAAAATCACAGAATTAGACATTCCATTTTTACTTTTTTCGCGAATTTGGCGAATTTTTTAACTCGGATCTGGTGTATTTTACGTTTTTGATCTGGCAACACTGTTCCAAACTACACTATATATTAGAAGAAGTACAGGAGAGATGCCCAATCACAATACTGATTTTTCAATATCTCCGGTACTTCCCAGGAAAGACTAGAAACAGACTAGATTAGGCGGCATAGACTCGTATGGGCACGGCCACATCCCTGGCCACTTCTTCGGCGCAACTGTTAGGCCCCGCCTCCTCCTTAAGACACGCCGACTCCAAATGCTTATTTAGGTACGACTTCAACGCAAATGTTTTATGACACCTTGGACACTCGAAATTCTTATCAGCGGAATGTGTTTGCATGTGTGCCCTTAGATTTGACCTATCAGCGAACGCCTTACCACAATGGGCACACCCGTAGGGTTTTTCCCCCGTGTGTGACCTTAAATGACCTTGTAGGAGCCAAGGTCGCGAGAATTGCTTCCCACAGACGCTGCATCTGTGGGCTAACTTGTGTGTGAGCACGTGCATGGCCAAGGCCGGCATGCTGACGTAAGCCTTCCCACACGTGATGCACTTCTTCGCCGATTGTGAGTCCAAACTTCTATGAGTTTGCTTATGTCGGGAGAGGTTACTAGACGTGGCGTACTGTTTCCCACACTCACTACAGGTGTATTTGGGCTTCTCGTTGATGTGGACTTTGGCTGTCAAAGACGGGTCATCAGCAACGAAGCGTTTCTTCGAGCGACCATCGCTGACGAAGAAGGCCTCGTAAGTGTAAGCTATCGTTTTGCCGCTCTTCACCGGGAGGTCCTCCTCGGGAGGTGGGGGTGGCGGCGGCGGCGGTGGGAGGAACACCGTCGTGGAGGCGCTCAAGTCGAGGATGGCGTGGGCTGCGTGCAAGTCTTCTTCGGCAGGTACTCGAATGGTGGGGGTGGGTGGAGGTGGGGAGGGTTTGTCATCGAGGGAGTAGGGACGGTAGATGTCCTTTTTTTTGGGGGGTAAGGAGAGGGCCGCTCCCGTACTGGTGAAAGTCATGGAGAGGGATTTGCGGGAACGAGGCGGAGTGGGAGTGCTGTAGTCGGGACGGAGGTCTTGGGTTTCCACCACCGTTCGTAAGGTTGCGTAAGATGGTTGCGTTTGGCCGCTGATGGGTTGGTCGTTACGGGGGATGAAGGTGGTTGGGGGATAGGTGGAAGGAGAGAATTCATGAAGGTAGCCTGAAACAAAGAAGAACAAATGAGAAAACTAATAACACATGATTTTTTTTTATTTTCCACAAAGAATATGTACTCAAAATATCAATTTAATTTTTTTTCTCTTATAGGTGTTATTTCTTAGTAAAGCCGGTTGGTAATTTTTTTATCTTATTGGTGAAAAAATTAATACATATACCACAAAACTTTTTTCTTCCTGAAAATTCTTTATATGAGGCTCTCAAAACGTAAAATTCACTAAATCCGAGTTAAAGAAATTGCTAAATTTTCACCAGATTACGATTTGTTGGCTATATCTTGCGAAAACAGGCAGTTTTCAGCTTAAAAATCCGCTTAAACTCTTAAAAAAGCAAAAAGGACATGCTTTCTGTAATTTTATTTTAGTTTTCAACAAAATTTTGCGAATTAATTGCGTTTCTAGCTGAAAAACGTGCTAAAATGCTAGAGAAATGCAAAAATTTGCAATTCTAGATTTAGTTTCTTTATTTTTTTGTCTGTTTTAGCGAAATTTAGTGAAAACTCTGAAATTTTAGTACAAAAGCGCAAATTTTGAAGTTTCTGTTAGTTTTTGTCTTAATTTTGCTCAATAACCAGTGAAATTAGTGAAACAAACAAAATAACATCAATATTGATTTTTAGCCGTGTTTAGACAAGATTTCGCAAAATAATTGTGTTTCTAGCGAAAAAAGCATTCGAAAAGACATAAATAAGTTGTCATTTTTGACTCTGTTGAGTAATATCCAGTAAAAAGCAAATAGAACTATTTTTAACCAATTTGGTGTTTTTCGATTATTTTTTCTTTGAGAAAATTTGAAATGTTCAAGTTAAAGCCTAAGAGTTTAATAATATAATCTTTTTTTATAACAATTTAGTGATTTTTGACATGCTATGGCAAACTATCGCGAAAAACAGAGTTTTCATCTTAAAAATCGGCTTAAACTTTCAAAAAAGGAAAAAATTATAGCCTAATTCTGTGTTTTTTTAAGTTTGTTTTTAACCAATTTTGAAAAATAATTGCATTGCTAGCTGAAAAACGTGTTAAAATGCTAGAGAAATGCAAAAATTATGTACATAATTCTGAACTTAATTTCTTGATTTTTTTTAACGTGTTTTAGCAAAACCTAGTGAAAAACCTGAGAATTTAGTACAGAAACGCTCTTAAAAGCATGTTTACTCAACATATTTTTGTCTTAATTTTGCTCAAAACCAGTGAAATCGAGTAAACTAAACAAAATAACATCAATATCCATCTTTTTTGCAATTTTTTGCCGTGTTTAGACAAGATTTTGCAAAGTAATTGTGTTTCTAGCAAAGAAAGCTTTCGAAAAAAACATACATAAGTTGTTTAGTAATATCTTCTAAAAAATAAATTGAACTCTTTTTAACCAACTTGGTGTTTTTCGATTATTTTTGCTTCGAAAAAATTTGACGAAATGTTTTCAAGTTAAAGCCTTTGAGTTAGGTAGAAGTGTCATAATATGATCTTTTTTTATAACAATTTAGTGATTTTTGACATGCTCGCGAGTTTTCAGTTAAAAATCTGTTAGAACTTTCAAAAAAGAAAAAATATATATCATTTTCGGCCCAATTCTGTGCTTTTTTTAACTTGTTTTAACCGATTTTGCAAAATAATTACGTTTCTAGCTGAAAAATGTGCTGAAACTCTCAAAAAGTGCAAAATCAATGTAATTTTTTTGATTTAATCTGTTGATTTTTCATTTGGTTTTAGCAAAATCTTGCAAAAATCATGAGATTCTAGTACAAAAACATGCTTAAAAACATTCTCGGATTGTTGCTTTTCTAATTTTTAAGCGTGTATGGACTAGATTATGCAAAATAAATAAGCTTCTTGTTCAAAAACGAAGCAATTCGAGCGGTACAAGTTAAAAATAATATCCATTTCGATTTAATTTTGTAATTTTTTTGCTCGCTTTAACAACATTTTTAGAATTTTCTTTGTTTTTATCTCAAAAACGTACTTAAACACTTGAAAGTGGCAAAAATAACGCCGTTTTTGGTTGAATTTGTTGAATTTTTGGATTGTTTTTAACGAAATTAGGCGAAATAATTGTGTTTCTAGCTGAAAAAGTATTCGAAAAAAAAAACAAAAAAAATTGTCGTCTTCGATCCTGTTTCGTAAAATCTTGTAAAAAAAACAACCAGAACTATTTTAACCAATTTGGTGGTGTTTCAACTTTTTTGAAAAAAAATTACAAAATAATCAAGTTTTTGGCTGAAAACGTGGAAAATGCTCAAAATAGTATATTAAAGTACAGGTTGCAGAAGCACAAACTTGAAAACCAAATGAGTGCTTGAAGAATCTTCTGCAACAAGTGCTTTATACTATTTTTTCTATTTTGCCGCTTTATATCATTTGATAAATTAAAAGACGAAAATTTTATTATTTTTTTCGAGAGAGAATTTTGCGACGGTTGGCGACATTTATGTGAAATAATTTTAGGCGTCTGTGAGAAATAAAAATGATTCTTATTTTCACATTTGTGAAAGAAGTCCGTCACTAAAATTAAATTAACGCAACCGACTTATTAAAGCACTTAAAAGACCTCATTCGGGTGCTGGAATAGACTTATTCTAAACGCAAAACAGAAAAAACAGTTTTTTTCATTTTCAAAAAATCACCACATATTAGAATTTTTAGACAAGTTTTCAGCAAATCACCAGACTAACATGAAAATCACCAGATCTGGTAAAATTTCACCAAACCTGACAACACTGGGTGCAGCAAATTTTACTTTACTATTTTTAAATACTTCACAATCGTTTGTTATGGAATTTTCATAGTTTTAGTTGTTTTTTATTTGACATGTCAAATTAAGAAATTGGCAACTAAATTGTGACACTTCAATGTTTTTATTAAAAAAAAATGAAAACGTTGTAACTACTATATGTATTATCCAAAAATTGTTTAAAATCAATTACGCTGTGATATACTATTATTGGATGTAGCACTCATCTGATTAAATTTTGATTTACACCATTGCATATAAATTTGTTGTTGGCATTAGTAATTACATTGTGGCATAATGTTTATCCACATTGTTATTAGTAAAATCAATCAGAGTCCTGCGCCCCCTCATCATTTCTCATTAAATCCCCTCGTCGAAGACGTCACCGTCCACACCTAAGGCTGACTGTTGAATATTAACTTTTCTTTTTATCGAGTTCGGGCGATGATGGGGCTCTTTTAATGCCGGTGGCAGCGTGTTTGCACCGCCAGCTGTTGTGATGTATCCGATTTAATTAAAAGGGGAGCGACGTTCCTCTCAACAGCCAGCTGTTGTAATACAGAAAGAGCCTTCTGTTATTCTATGCATATCCTCGACAATAAGATGCGACGATTCCTTTTACGGTTTGCGTTAAAGATGATTATTTCGTTTTGACCAGGGCCGTACCCAAGAGGGGGGATTAGGGGGTTCAAACCCCCCCCTCATAAATGCTGAGCACTTTGTTATATAGTGTTATAAGTAAGGCTCGGATTATATGCAAAATGCATATTTGTCATTAACAGATATATCCACAAAATTGTAAGGTTTCTATGCATATCTAATGTTTTTTGATTAAAATAAGCCCATTAAAAAATGCATATTTTGCATATTTTGGCAACTTGGTGCATATTTTTAGAAATATTGCATTTTTATGCATATTTTCTTCAAATCACTAATTTTCAATTAAAAATTTCAGTGCAAGTTAAAAATTGGACAGTTTAAGAAAAATAATCCGATTACAAAATATTTTAAGGAGAAAACAATCGGTAATTCTTAAGCCAAACTCAAAAAATTAGTAGCCTGCTGAGTGTTTCCTCTTTAAATTTGTTTTATACTGGGTGAATATAAAGTATTGAACCAAGCGGGTTTTTTTTAAATCATTCTTTTCCAAAAAATAATAATTAATATAAATTAAAGTAACATAAAAAAATGATTTTTTAAGAACAAAATTTTGTTTTGTTTTTGAGTTATTAGATTTTTGTTGTCTAAATTGCGATATACATATTAGTTTTTTCAAAAAATAAATACTTTAAGAAAAAAACGTGTTGTGAACTGAAAAGTACAGATTTTTTAGAAAGGGTTAATTACCAGGTTATGA